CAGCGTTTTGTGACCATGAGGCTCTCAAGAGATACATGTTGGGGGCGCCAAACGGCAATTCTAGCTGAGACGTCCCACCAAAATCGGCGCGAACGGGCTCGTGAGATCAGCCAGGGTGGCTCCCCCTTGGGGCTCCCAAATGATGCCCCTGGCAGCGTTTTGTGACCATGAGGCTCTCAAGAGATACATGTTGGGGGCGCCAAACGGCAATTCTAGCTGAGACGTCCCACCAAAATCGGCGCGAACGGGCTCGTGAGATCAGCCAGGGTGGCTCCCCCTTGGGGCTCCCAAATGATGCCCCTGGCAACGTTTTGTGATCATGAGAGAGTGTGAGTGTGAGCTTAACTTATCTTACCTTATCTTGAAATCGCTTCTTATCATATCTTGTGCTATCTTATCTTATCTTGTAGTATCTTATCTTGTCTTGTCTTATCTGGTGATTATCATTGGAAGGAGGGAGGCGCGAGCGGGAGGAAGAAGGAGGAGGAGGAGTGGGAGGCGTCAGAGTAATAACAAGAACCCCAATCCTTAGGATATGGGGAATAAGGTCTCAGAGGGCCTGGCAAAATACGAAAGTGGGGTCTTAAAGGCTCTCAGAAAGCCCCAAGAGAGCCGGAACATGACCTAAAAAGACGCCAGAAAGCCGTAAGAGAGTCTGAAAATGATTTTAAAAGGACGCCTGAAGGTGTGCAAAAATGTGGACGAAAACAAGAGGCATACGGAGAGGCGTACAAACGAGATGCGAGTTAGTTTGGGGGCCTCAAAATGGACTCCAGGGACCCCCTGGGCGCGCCCAGGACGGCCCAAGACAGACCCAAACATGTTGCCAGACGGCCCAGGCCGGGGTCGGGAGGCGTGCAGGACAGCCGCAGAGAGCGCCCGCTGATTCCAACGTGCTTCCAAGAACCCGCGAAGACGCACGTGAGCTCGAAACGAAGCAAGAATAGAGGCTCGACAAGGCCAGAATGGACATACTCATATGTGTGTTTACGTGTTTTTTTGCGTGTTGGTTTTTTGTAGTCGAAGTGGGCCGAGGAGAGGTGGGCGGGCTGCCAGACTGGACCAAAATGGCTTGGAGGACGGCCAAGATCGCCCCAGGAGAGCGTCTGGAGGCCTCCAAAATCGAGTCAGTGAGCTCCCGGAGAAGCCTCTGAGAGAGGCCGGCGGCGCCTTGAAGACGAGCGTTTCCAACGAGGTGCGTTCTGAAGCGAAAATGATGGCCAAAGAGCGCTCATTCCGCAGCTGTGGCCCCCGGGCCGGCGGAATGAGCAGGCCGCGGGGAGGACCCCAGGAGGGGTTGCAAGGGCTCTGAGGAATGGGTATTGGTACGAGGAGTTCGTGCGCGCGCAGATTGAGGGGACTGAGTTCGTGCAGCCCATGCGGCGGGGATCTCACACGCCGTGCCCGGTGGGGCGGCGGATCGCTTCGCTCATCCCGCCGGCCCTGGAGCGCTATTTGGGGCCTTTTGGGGCCGCCTTGGGGGCCTCTTGGGGGCTTCTTGGGAGCGTCTTGGGGCTCCCTGGCGGCGTCTTGGGGGGCCCCTTGGGGCGGGGGGGGGGCAGTCGATTGCAGCCGCCCCCTCGGAGGCCACGATCCTCGTGATTGGTGGCGAAAAAAAGCACCCCCCCTGGGAATCGCCCGGGGCCCGGCTGGGGATCAGCCAGGGTACTTTTCGTCCGGGGGGCCCCAGGGGCCGCCCCGCGCGCGCGAACTAGAAATATTGTCAAGCAGTTACCGGAGATCTTAGCACGCCCCTGGCCCGCTGGGCCGGCGAATTTATAGGGAGAGGGAATGGAGGAGGAGGGCGAGGAGGAGGAGGAGGAGGAGGAGGAGGAGGAGGAGGAGGAGGACGAGGAGGAGGAGGAGGAGGAGGAGGAGGAGGAGCAGGAGCAGGAGCAGCAGGAGCAGCAGGAGCAGCAGGAGCAGCAGGAGCAGCAACAGCAGGACAGCAGCAGCACAGCAGGAGCAGCAGGAGCAGCAGGAGCAGCAGGAGCAGCAGGAGCAGCAGGAGCAGCAGGAGCTGGAACAGGAGCAGGAGGAGCAGGAGGAGGAGGCGGAGGAGGAGGAGGGAGGGAAAGGAAAGGGAGGAGGAGGTGGAGGAGAGGAGGATGGGGAGGGGGGGCGGAGGCAGAGGCGAGGCCCGGTAAGGGCCTTGGAGGCTGCACATATCGTATAAATTCCGCCAGGATCATGATCTGTCATGGCCCGTGGGGTCTGGGTCGCGGGCCCGCCGCGCGGCAGCCCAGCCGCAGGCCAGGAGTCCACCTCCAGCCCGATCCCATCGTCGTCGTACTCAACGACGACGACGACGACGACGACGACGACGACGACGACGACGACGACGACGTCGACCTCGACGACGACGACGACGACGACGACGACGACGACGACGGCGACGGCGACGGCGACGGCGACGGCGACGGCGACGGCGACGGCGACGGCGATGACGACGACGACAACGACGCCGACGCGGCCCTTCTTGCGCGGGGGGGGGCGGCAGGCCGCCGCGCCGAGCTGATCCGCCTGGGCGTCTCGGCCGCCTTCCGAGGCAACGTCGTCGTCGTCGTCGTCGTCGTCGTCGTCGTCGTCGCCTTCGAGGCCGACGACAACGACAACGTTGGGATCGGAGGAATGTGTTGTTCCGAGACTTCGAGGCTGCTTTGGGGCGAGAGGGGAAGGAGTAGGAGGAGCAGGAGGAGCAAGAGGGGATGATGTGAAACATGGAGTGGAGCGAGGTCGGCGGAGGTTTCGGAATGGCCATGTAAGACCCCCAAATGCTAAAACAGAGCTGGGGAACAACGGCATAAACATGCCTTCTGGGAACTCCGCGCGGATTCCTTGTCTTGCATCGGCGCTGGGGTCACTCCAGCGGCGCCTCTTGCGCCGCCCCTGGCGCGCCCCTCGCGCTTGGGACGGAGGGAGGCTCAGCGCCGATCCAAGCCATTCGCGCGGCCGCGCGGAGTTCCGAAAGTTTATGCTGCTGGCGCTCGTGCCTCCAGGGTGGCCGAGGCCCGCCAGGGCCCAGCAGGTGGCCGGAGGCCCTCGCGTGCCCCGCCTCTGGCTCCGAGCGCCCCCGCCAGCGTCTGGAGCCTGCCGCCGCCCCCGCGCGCGCAAGTCCACCTTCTGAGTCTGAGGCCAGCTCCTCTGGCGGCCTCTGGGAGGTGCGGGTGATCACCTCTCTGCTCGGCTCGGAGGTTGCTAGAAGCCACACCCTGCCACGTTGATTGGCGAGTCACCCTTGTTCGGTTCTCGAGTTGGCGTTGCGGCCGCACTTTTTGCGGGCCCTCGCCCACTGGGTCTGGCCCCGGTTCGTGTTTACTGAAGGGTGTTTTGCTAAAGGGGTTTCGTCCGCCCCCACCGATTGACCTTGGTGCAAGGAGAAGCGACCGCCAACGGCGCACTTGTCGAACTCGTTCGGCTATGATCTCTACGTATCTCTCTCTCTCTCTCGCTCTCTCTCTCTCTCTCTCGCTCTCTCTCTCTCTCTCTCTCTCTCCCTCTCGACACGAGTTGCATGCAGAACTTCAGCAGAGTTCAGCGCAGCAAGCGCAACAGCGGGCCGCCGCGGCAGCCTGTCCCGTCGCCCTCGAGCGCGCGCGGGCCGAAGAACCGCGGCCGAGGGTCGCTTGCCCGCCTGGGAAGGCGATCGCCCAAACTCGTTGTCGTCTCCTCGTCATGCTCGGCTGCAGAGAGCCCAGCGTGAGTAAGCCCCATGCCAAGAGAGGGGGGAAGAAGAAACCGGGGAGGAAGCGGGGGTTTGAGGGAGGGAGGGAAGAAGTGGTATATATATATATATATATAGAGAGAGAGAGAGAGAGAGAGAGAGAGAGAGTTACAGACTGTGTATGTATGTATTTGTCCCTCTCGCTCTCTCTCTCTATCTCTCTCTCTCTCTCTTTTTTTTTTTTTTTTTTCTCTCTCTCTCTCTCTCTCTCTCTCTCTCTCATACCTCCAATACACTGCTTGTGCTTAGGGCTTCTTATTTCTTCTCTAAGGAACTGGGCCGTGTGGTCGGTCTGACGGCCATGTCTCCGCCGTCGCCGCCCCGTCGCCGCCTCGTAGCCGCCCGTCGTTTGGGCCGTGTGGTCTGTCTGGCGGCTGTGTTCCCGCCGTCGCGGCCCCGTCGCCGCGTCGTCGTCGCCCGTCGCCTGGGCCTTGTTGCGCATTGCAATCCAAGCGGTTGCAATGCAATGGGTTGCAATGCAATCGATAGCAAGCCAATCGATTCCAGTCGATTGCGTAGAACAGATGCCACCACATGGATTGCTCCACCTAGCTGACACGATTGCAATCCCATGGATTGTAATTCAACCGACAGCAATCAAACGGATTGCAATTTGATCCTTTGCAATCGACTACACCGCATAGCTCTCGGCACATAGATGAGTATGTTAGCTCATACCACGTAGATCGCACCACATAGCTTGCACCGCGTAGGTCGCGCCACATAGATTGCACCACCTAGCCCGTAGCCATTTTTGATCTAGATTCCCAATCCCTTTTCCGGGGTTGGGAGCTTGCCGTGGCCATCTTCATCAGTGGCGACGCCCGCGTGGGGTCTCCTTCGGGGCGCGGGGCGGCGGTGGGGCCGATGGGCGCGGCGCGAGGGGGTTGTCCTCTTCCCCCCTCGCCTCCATGGGCCGCATTGCTGGTGGCCCGGTTGCGGCCTGGCTGGGGCCAGGCGGCGAGTAGGTCGGGTTACCTCGTGGAGGCGGCGGTGCGCGCGGCGGTGGTGGCAGGCGCCACGTCGCAGGTTCCAGCTGCTGTCGGAGGTGCGGCGGTGGAGGCAGCGCTCAGCCGGGCGGGTTCTGCCGTTCAGGCTGCCCAGCAGGTGCCTGAAGCTCCCAGGGAGGGGGATGCGTCGTCGGTGGGCGGCTATGCGGCGGCTGTTGTGGGGAGGGGCAACGAGACGTTGTGTGAGCCGCCCGAGGGCGGCGAGGGGGACCAGGACGAGACATTGGCTGGGAGATCGGGTCGGTGGACTCCGACTGGGAGCGCAGGGTCGTATGTTACGAGGCACTGGCGGAGGTGCGCAGCCTCCAGCAGGAACGCGACGAGACGCCCGACCTGGCGTCCGAGGAGTGCATGGAGCTGCGGGCGTTGGCTTGGCAGGGCAGGTCACGGGCCCTCGTGGACCTCGGCGGGCTCCTCGCGGTGCAGGCCGAGGCCGAGGCCGACGGCATCAAGGCCGAGGCCGCCGGGGCCGCCAGGGCCGCCGCGGGCGGCGGGGCCAGGTTTCTGGGCCCAGAGCGCGGCGACCCAGAATCGCCCCAACACGCTGCCGAGGCCGCCAGGGACACCGCCAGGACCGCCTGGGCTGCCGCGGGCGGCGGAGCCAGGATTCTGGGCCCAAAGCGCGGCGACCCAGAATCGCTCCCGCACGACGGGCCGCCGACGTGGTGGCGCTTAGTGCGCGGCGCCTGGCGCGCGGACCAGGGCCCTGCCGCGGGGGCTGTGGCTGCAGGGCCCATGGAAGGCGCGGAAGTGGGCCGGCATGTGGACGGCGACGTTGGCAGGGTGAACGACCTGGTGAAGCAGGTGTTCGTAGTCGACGGCGAGACTGACGAGGAGGCCGACGGTGCCCAGGCGGCGGTGTCGGTGAGTGAGTTCGTGCCAGGGGGGCCCGAGGCCTATGACAGTTCAAGGGCGGTCCCTGATGCCGCTGCGCCCGAGACACCGCCCTCGGAAGGCAGCGATGGCGTGGCGACGGCCAGCGAGGCGAGCATCGTGGCCGAGGTACGAGCTGCAGGTAAGGGCAAGAGCGAGCAGAGCATGCGCTGGGCCGATGACTTGGACGACCAGGTCGACGGCGGCATGCTGCTGCTGCCAGCAGCGCCAGCGTGGCTGGCGTTGGCCAGCGGGCTGGATGGCGAGCGCGCGCCCCTCCATGCGTCGCAGAACCAGGCCGCGTACCAGAGGGCGGCGGACGCGATGGCCGAGCGGGGGCTCGCCGGCGACGCCCTCGTGGAGCTGCAGCCGAAGGCCGCGCGAGGCGCGGCCGCGCGGGAAGGGCGCCACGCGGTGCCCTGGGCCCTTGTCGTCGCGCCGCCCGACGCGGAGGACCCGCTCGACGAGCCGAGGGAGCCGACTTGGGGCAAGGAACCACCCGTGAGAGGCCATCCCCAGGGCGAGCAGTGGGCTCGCCTGGCAGCCAGGCACAGCAGGGTGCAACTGGAGCCCACGCACCACCAGGTCCCGGGAGCGCAGCTGCAGAGTCTGTTCGGGGCCCAGACGGGGGCCATGGAGCAGATTGAGCAGCGCCTCGTCTGCCTCGAGGGATTCGCGCAAGCAGCTGAGGACATAGCGATGGGAAGAGATTCCATCTGGCGCGTGAACTGAGCCTGATTGAATTGAGTAGGGGCTTGCAGCGCATCGTGAATTATTCGAGTATGTTTTTGATGGCGAGCTTCTGTGTAGCAGCAGCGTGCGCCTTCAGATATCAGTCTCTTATATAGTTAGCGCGATAGTATTTTCAACGCTGCGCGTTTGCCCGGCGCCTAAAGTAGCGGCGGAGGATAGCCGAGGCCGCGATTTGGCCCCTAAGGGAGCCAGTGAACCGTGAGCCTCGCGACTTCGACGTGAGTTTCGTGTGCAGTGTGAAAGTTTGCACCACCTAGCTTATGCAGTCGCCGCCTCGTCGCCGCCCATCGTTTGCTCCGCGTGTTCGGTCTGGCGGCTACGTTGTCGCCGCCGTCGCCGCCCCGTCGCCGCCTCGTCGCCGCCCATCGACGGGGCTTGTGCGTCGGTCTGCCGGATGCGTCGTCGCCGTCGCCGCCCCGTCGCCGCCTTGTCGCGGCCTCGCGAAAGGTCACCGCGCTGATGCATCACATGGATTCCCTGGTCTAAGAGAGAGTTCGGATCCACCACCTTCCCGAGGCCAGACTTATCCCCCCGTCTGGGGATGTGCAATATACGGATAATGATTCCCCAACGTTCGTTCTGAATGCGAATTCATCATGCGGCGCGCGCGCCGGAATCGTGTTAAATACTTCCAAACCGTAGGTTCCGCGAGGTTTCAACATTCAGTGCCGAAAGCATATAAACACATGGTTTCGCAACAATAACATTCAGCAAAAACGGTGGGCGCGGTCTTTCGACTTCTGACAAATAGCATGCTTTTTGTCAATATGCCCATCACTTTCGGCGATGTCACCAACCGCGCGACTCGCGCGCGCATGTCGGAACCATTCGAACGCCCTCGCGCGCGCGTGCTGGGGGAGCACGCCTCCTGTCAAATTGTACCACGCGGGCCACTCGCGCCCGTCGGCCGCGCGCGCGTGCCAAAATCTTCCCGGCGTCTCCATCGCCGCCCCGTCGCCGCCTCGTCGCAGCCTCGCGGAATTTCACCGCGCAGGTGCATCGCATGGGTTCTCTTGTCTAAGAGCAAGGGATCATCAGGATCCACCGCCTTCCCGAGGCCAGACTTACCCCCCCCCTTTCCTGGGGACGTGCATCATATTGATTTGTATTCCCCATCGTTCGTTCTGAATACGAATTCATATGCAGCGCGCGCCGAAATATTGTTCAATGCCCCAGAACCGTAGGTTC